GAAGTCTTTCTTTTGTAAATTGGCATATATGTTTGCACTACACAGAAGTAAAAGAAAATATATTCTGCCTGAATATTGGTAGAATAAGTCTAGAAGGAAGGTAAAATATAATCGGTTTGAACTTAGATAGCTGAGTACCACGCTATAGCAGGTTTTTAAATACAGGTAGCACTGTATATGGAGCTTGTTGGCAAATATCAGTGCGATAACCATACTTGGGCACTTTCATAGTAGCCAGGTAGTTGCCTAATATGTAAATTAGATAGTTAATTTTGTAAATTACAAAAACTTTAATAAATTAGTGCGAGGTTATCAAAAGAAAAAAAAAAATTCAAATTGCATGAAATTTTAATATATTATAGCCTAATATCATATTTATTAACAGTAAAAATTTCAGCTTATTTAGATAACTGGTTGTTGAGTAATTCAAATCCAGATAATAATATAATATTATGATTTTTAATATATTTTAAATATTATAAAAGATTAAATTTGATTGGTTAATAGCTCTATCACTAGGGGGGAAGAGAAGTATGATCTATGTAAACCCTAATTATATAATTTACTGCACTTCTCTAATATATTAAAATTTAAAGGGTTGGGATCCCGCGGCATAGTGGTCTAGGCACCCAACCCTCCACGAGCGGGTTTTAGGTTCAAGTCCTAGTAGATATGTTTATCTACAAATATTTGGAAGTATCTGCTGTGAGAAGTCTAAGTGTATACAGGTCTGGATTAGGAATTTTCGGAAGAAGGTTCATTGTGGAGTAGTTAGCACTATATGTAACAGTAGTTGTTACAAAAGGTTCTATTACACAAAGGTTGTGCGTGTAAATCCGTGATTGGCAAGGTAGCACCAACAACCCCTAAGGCGGCATTGGGGATTTTGTTTGGAAGGATAACCGGGTGGTAACCAGAATTGGAAAGTGGTGAGAAATGTGGTGAATACAAAGTGATCTGTAGTAAAGAATTGGCCTTATCAGATTTGGAACACCTCTGGCATATATGGAACTCACCGGCCAATAAGAAGTTGAAGCATGGAGGCATATATATATTAATAGACCTAACAGGCTCTGGTCGTACCCATATGGGAGCTTTGGTGTTAAGAAGACTTGGGACTACCAATATAGATATAGCTGATATAAGTGCATACAGCAGTAACCGGAGGCTACAACTGTCGAGAATCATTATAAAAAGAAACGATGATACATCTGTTACCTCTAAGCCTCATGATGCCATCCAAATATACTGACTACTGGAAGCATTTGTGAAACATGCCTGAGCACCCTCGTCACCATATTGGGAAGTATAGTCGTTAGCACAGACCTAATTAGATACATTAAGACCTAGGTCCTGAAAGTTGCAGGAAACTAGCTAGTTATAGCAGCATGCAGGCTTGAGATACTTACCTGTTTGGGTAGAGTAGCTGCATGGCTTGAGATACGAACTCCTAGAAGTATGCTAAATAGAGATTAAGAGAGAAAACCTTGCTGACAGACACACCAAACCAGAAGCAATAAGTGCCTACCTAGTATATACCGATTTGAAAATTGAAGATAAATAGTTTGTGAGTAATATGGCAGACATGTGAATACTGATTGGCAGTTTGGGAGGGATGTATAAAATCCAGGTCAATCACATGTGTAAGAATGTTGACGGCTCTGGTAGGTTTTAGCCGTGAATAAATAGTCTTAGTACTTGATGTCCTAGTTCTAGTTCTGATATATAATATATATGTATTTATGGCATAATCATATGTCAATTTACTTAAGTATTAATAAAAGTCTGGGACAGGAGCTATATCCCAAATATTAAATATATATATATATATATATTAAAATTTAAACTTTTGTACTAGAAACTCTTATATAGTTTAAATTAACTAAAAAATAAAATTTAAAGTATATAGATAGCTAGTATAAAGTTATACTTGAAAAGTAAATAATAAGCATAATTTTGTAGTATTATAGATATACAATAGCAAGTTTATAAAGTTAAAGACTAAACTTTTACTTTAAACTCAAAAAAAACTTCCAAAAGAATTTATAAACAATATTTATATAATATTAGTATTAGAATTATTCTATTATCTAGCTATAGAGTTTTGCAAACTAGATTTAATAAAAAATAGGCATAAATATAAAAATTTGAAAAAAAATTTTGGCATAAACATGGGTATAAACAAAAGAAAATATCTATTTGTAACAGCCTGTTACACGCTTATTTGTAACAGTTTATTAATGTTGGGTTAATGTTAGGGTTAGTGTTAGGGTTAGTGTTAGTATTAGGGTTAGTATTAGGTTAGGTTTAGAGTTAGTATCTTCATTAGTAGCACAAAAGAGATTATCAGTAAAATTTTGAGTTATAGGTCAAACTGTTACAAATAAGCGTGTAACAGGCTGTTACAAATAGACTTATCCTAAACAAAAAGCTTGATATAAGCAAGGGTACAAGCACAGAAATTTGTTATTTAATTTTGTTTGCATTGTGCCCAGCACCACTCTGGCACCTTGTGTCTAGCATTTTGTACTCATGTCTTTGCTAATACCTGCACTTTGTACCTATATCTTTAATATACCTGGTATCTTATACCATTTCGTGTCTATAAACTAATGCCCGGCCTGGTGCCAATGTGCCGGGCACGGTCGCTTGCAAACCCCTAGTATGTACGTACATTATCTGATATTTACTGTGAGGCTGATGCACAAAACCTCAGTAGAATCTAAAATGTATAAAAAGCACGGCCTTAATAAATATTCAATACAATATAAGAGTTCTGCTAAATATATCGAAAAGAATTAGCAAGATAAAAAAAACAAAAGAAAGAATGAGATGTTGTGTTGCTAGCTGTTGAAGAAATTCATTTAAAATAGTAATCAAGAGGTTGCAAACTGCGAGAGCATACGAAATAACACGTATTAATATAATAAATGCAAATAAAAAGGAAATTTACTGATTTTCTATTACATTGCCTATTCTAGTAAAACTTCTACATTATGATACATAGCACTAAGTTAGAATATTTGCCATTCTTAATTTGAGCAAATTCGGTAGTACCCATCTTACATAATTAATGTCTAATAATGAAAAAAAAAATCGAACGACCTCATTCATTAGTCTAATTCAAATGAATTTTTATATATTATATTATTTAAAATAGCTTTTGTCCGAAAAAAAGCCAATAATGACGAACATACTTACATAAAAAACTTATAAAATTTCATTGCTCATATTAAAATTATGAAATTAATAAATTATATCTTTATGAAGTTTGTATATAGTAAAGTTTTATTGATCCTAATATTTAAAGAAATACTGTTTTAAGGCAGTCCATGTTCCAGCAGTGGCTGCACAGATTACAGAGGCGGTTGCTGCGGCTTTTATACCGGCTTTTAATTTACATAAAAAATTAGAATAATTAGTAGTGAACTTGGCTTGCTTATTGATATAGATGTTTGGATTTTTTTCTAATTACCAGTAGATTTAAAGATCGCGCCTATTAAAGCACCAGATGCGACATTATTCATAGCATCATGTTTACCCCTCATGTTACTAATTATTCCATTGATACTGTTATAACCCATGGCTATTAATTCGCAAAAAAATGAGATAAAATAAAAAAAATTGATAAAATAAACCGATCATATTTAGGAGATTTTATCTTGTACCTAAAATTCCACATGAATTTCCAATGTAAGGACCACGTCTCGTGACAGAATTAAGTACCGTATTTATTCGTAATTTAAAATTAGGTGTATGTCCACGTAATCCTTCAATCAAACCCCACGTACCACCAAATGTTAGACCTACATGTGTCAAACGTTGTGAATTTTATAAAACAGTTCCAAGAACGTTGTTAAAACAGATTTTCGCGTATTATTGATAGTACCGGCCAAATATGTTGTTCCTGTGCCATAACATAGATCGTCCATTACTCCTCGGCTAGGAAGTGCACCTGGTGTGATCCCCTGCTCATCAAACTTTATATAATCAACAGCACCAAGACCCGCTATCTCTCTTATTTGTGTGGAGCTTAAGTTTACTCGGTCCAAAAAATCGGACACTGCAACCGGATCGTTGCCAAATTGATTTGTTGGAGACTGGTAAGTTCGATCATCATACGTATCAGGCGCGTCTTTTGCGAAGGCCATTTTTTTTTTTTTTTATGTTATTTCACAATCTAATTTATAGATCTGTGAGGTACAAAGTCACATGATCCTAAAGGTAAAAATGCTCATATATGCACTTTTTTTTTCTTTTTTTTTTTTTTTAGCTTTAATGGTAAGTTTCTCATTATTGTATAAGGCACGTTTTCATTGTTTACTAACATAGCTCTTTTATTTTTACTAGATCTTTTAGGTTTCTTCTTTTCGTCTTTCACCATTCGACGGGTTTCGCTTTTCGCTAGGGAGATTCGTGAATTTCGTCTTTTGCCATTTATGAAAATGGTTTCACCTAACAATTATATTGACAAATCAGCATTAAAAAAAGTTTACAATGAAATAAAGATCGAAGCACCGTGGATTGAAACTCAAGTTATTACCTCTTCAGAGCCTGCGTCAATTAAAGATATCAATAACGACATTGAGCGTGAATTAGCCTTGTTCGTACAATTATATCATTTTGTCAGCCTTGCGATTTTTTCTTAAATCTTATAAAGCAATTACAATATTTAATTATGGGCAAATAATAATAGTTATAAACAAGCACTTGAAGGTGCAATCGAGGGACGCAAAAATGTTATTACATCTGGAGTACCATTTTCAAGGCCGGATGATTATTTTGCTGAAATGATTAAATCAGATGTACATATGACTAGAATACGACAAAAATTAGTAAATGAAGAACAAAGTATTAAGGCGAGTGAAGAAGCAAGGCGTCTGAGAGAATTAAAGAAATTTGGTAAAAAAGTTCAAGTTGAAAAAATTCAAGAACGACAGAAAAAGAAGAAAGAAGATTTGGAAAAAATTAAAGTCATGAAAAAAAGTGATATATCTTTAATTCATTTTGGATAGAGTTTTTTTTCCTATCATGACTATTGTTTAATATTCATAATATATAAATATTAGAGCGGAAGGGCATCGAAGATACTGCCCTAGATGACGATTTTGAAATTGCATTAGAGCAGGCTGCAGCTGATGACAGATCGAGGAAAAGACAAAACACTGGGAAAAACGGCAAACGTGTTAGCAAGGTATTTATTTCATTATATTATAACTAGTGTTGGCAGCACTGGGACCGTAGAGCAAATTAACATTTTGCCATTTAAAAATTTTTATTAAAAATTTTTGCAATTCTTGTTTAAATAAATATTACAATAAGCTATTAAGTTTAATAGTAAAATTTTCAATGGAGCTGTGGAATAGAATAGCAAAACAACCCAATAGAAAAATAGAATTGCCAACACTGATTATATACATTTTTACACATTAAACTTTGATATAATATCTAATTTATACGAAAGGATACAAGATATGGGTTTGGTGGGAAAAAACGCCATGCTAAATCAAATACGGCTGATTCTTCCGGGGATTTATCTCAATTTGATTCAACGAACGGTAAAAGTGGTTGGAAGGTGAGTTTTCACGAAGCTTTATACTTACTCTTTGGATATACTATTCAATGATTAATTATTATATCATTATAGGCATCAATGGCGAATAAAAAAAGAAAATTTACGAAAAAAAGACCAGGAAAAGCTAAGCGTAAATCGGCAAGAAATAAGAAGTGATAATTAGAATCTCAGAAAGCTGTTGATATTATTTGTTAACCCACTTTTCATAAGTATATTTGTAAAGAAAATTTTTATCAGACTTTAATTTGCTATGTATGAAAAAAAAATCCATTACACTTGTAATATATTTTGAACTCTGGGTTAAGGTGATAATTTATTAATCTAAATAGTGCATATTTGCGGAAAAGAAATTGTATTTAATGCCTACTAAACGTTTTATACGATAATAAAATGATGTATTTTAAAATGTTAATAATTCAATGCATTTATAGTCCAGTGTTGTCATGGGACAGTGACACGGACAACGGACAGTCCGGGACGGGACGTCTCGGACATGTCCGCCAAAATGTTAAAAATTATAATAAGAGTGTCTTTTTAGCCAATGAGGTCGCTTGATAAACTTTGTGATATATGACACCATCACGGACATGGGACATTATCCGAGATCGTCCGGGACCCTGAAATTTTAACGGAACAACGTCAGTGTACAACACTGGTTATTTATTTCTGTATTTAGTAATAAATTTCGGTAAATTTCAATAAGACTAAGAATAAACTTCAAAAAAAATTTTTAATTTTGTGGGCCTCCGCCCCCACCTGGATTCGAACCAGGATCCTTTCGGTTAACAGCCGAACGCGCTAGCCGGTTGCGCCATGGAGGCAATTGTATAATAAAACGGAAAATTTTTAATATTTCAATATTATATTCGATATATCTAAGTATTTGATATGAATGCTGCCAAGAAAAAGCCTGTAAGTCATGCTTTTTGATATTTACTTTTAATAAAAATATTTTAAAGGTCAAATAACTTAGTATTCATTATTTCAATATCATTTGAATCGTCTTGACTCGATCGTATAATATTAAAATTCCAAGTGATCGATTACTTACAAGTAAATATTGACTTACAGGTTTTCTCTTAACATCACTCATATGTAATTACTTTCAAAAACTAGTTTTTTTTTAAAAAAAAAAAAAAACCTCCAAAATTAATGTACTTAATAGTAATAAGTATCAAAATAGAAAATTTCTAAACCTACACTAGTGTTTGTCAAATTCGTGCAACATATAAATTCATAAAAAAAAAGGCTATATACTTAATATTAGGGTTAGAGAGTTTTATACTAAATTTTTGCGTAGATTATTTTTTGTTATAAGCAAAATTTTGAATAATAACAATACTCCGTGTGTACACACTAGTGTACAAATAGTAATTCTCTAAAAAATAATACCGATACTGATTTTAAATAAAAAATTTTTTAATGTTTATAAACCATAGCAAAATTTTTTAAAATTTTATAAATTTGTAAAATTTAAATATACAGTATAATAAAAGTTTATGGAATTTTATTAGATAGTTTTAAGATAATATACATATATTTTAAATAAAAAAAAACAAATTTGCCCAAATTAATAAATAGTATTTTACTTTTTAAAGTAATTTTTATAAACAAAACTACACTTTTATATTAAATAAAGTACTGTATATATATACTGTAATTATTTTTACTTGTACTGTATACAGTATAGTATTCTATAAAAAATTTTCCATAGCAAATAATCTTGCTACTTTGCAACAATATAACAATTTACAACCTATAATAACAATAAATAACATATGGGGTGAGTTAATAAAAATCAAACAAATTTTTATAATAAAAAATTTTTTATAACATTAAACAAGAATAAATTAACAAAACCTTGACCAAATTGAATAAAAAAATTTTTATTAAATTTGATTAAGTTTTTGTTAAGCTATCCTTGTTTAAAGTTTTAAAAAAAACTTAATAAAAAATATTCCTCATATCTTTAACCAAATTATTAGTTTTATTATTATTATTATTATTACACTGATTTATAAATTTCTTTGCAAATTGTCATGATTAATATATTTAAGCTATCAAAACTCGTAATCTAAATCATAACGCATTTTAAACTACGCAATAATAATAAAAAAATAAATAAAATACTGTAAAACAACCAGTTTTTTTTTTCAACATATGCAATATATGTGGTTCACTTGGTGTGAGCGCAATGCCGTAATTGGTCGTAATTGTTTTTACAAAAACTCAATTATATCGTGACCCAATAATCCAAATTGGATGAATTTGATATCATTCGAGTCGTCTCGATGTGACGAATCGAATGGTACCCAAATCATTCAATTCGAACCACTGGATCGCAATATATTCTCGAAAAACTATTTAATAAATTACGGTAGAATTACGGCACGTTTGCCGTAATTGATTGAATCATTATTTGCAAATATCTTGTGATCCAGTGATTCGAATTGGATGATTTTTGTACCATCCGATTAGTCTCGTCGAGACGACTCGAATGATATCAAATTCATCCAATTTGGATTATTGGATCACGACCAATTACGGCATTGCGCTCACACCACTACTTATAACTGTCGCAAGTACAGTGAATTAAAATTTAGGCTCTTCCTTACATTCCATTAACCTTAAACCTAATTCTAAGAAGAATTTGTCATGACATTATTTTCAAATTAAAAATAGATCAAATTTTTGCTTTAATTTGATTTGATTTCGTCATAATAACTGCCGAGAATCAATTCTATGTTTGTTACGGTAATGTTGGCACTAGAATCATTTGAAGTTTAACATGCACCAATTTTGACTTGCAGTTATTCGCTGCTAATGTCAAGATTTGGGGTAATATTCTAAACCTATTAAAATCCCCTTATACTCTTTTATTAATAATTCTAACCTCAGATCCTAAATCTAAAGCTAAGAAAAAAAAAAAAAAATCTCAAATTTAAAATTTCATATAAATTCTCATCATCAGCCCAAACCAATTATTTTCATTATACTTCCCGAAAATTAGATGAAATTATTAATAATGTTAACACCGGATATATTGGTTTTCATAATCAGACGGTAAATTCAAATTTGGGCAATTCCTCATTTAATGAATTAATTGTAAAGCTCCTTCAATGGTAAATCGGTCATGCTTAATAAGAGATACTAAAGCATTTCTTGAAGCGAAATGAAGTTTTCAGTTGAAAAATTCTGTAATCTTTGAAGCTGTTTATTTAAAAGCTTATTTTATAAATACTGAAATATATGCAAAAGAAACGAGTTTCAAAAGAAATTCGTAGACACTAAGTATGAGTTCAAAATAATGGTGCGTTTTGATTTTCTAGTATTACATAAATCGTATACCTGCTAATAATTCCAATAATAAACGCATCTGATGCGTTGAATTTTTTTTTTTTAATCTTCTAACTCAAAGTCCAAGCACAACCTTAAATAATAATCAATCATGATCATCCTCATTAATTCCAGGACATAATTGTTCTAGCTCTTTAACGTCACTATATTCACATCCACACCAAAAACAATAATTATACTTTTCTCGTATATATTTTAAAACACAGTCAAACTTTTCCTCTGACTAATAACAATTTGAACAAAAGAAACGTGGCATAAGTACGTGTATAATAAAAAAAAATATAAAAAAAAAATAAAAAGCACCAACCGATAGTTTTTCAAATTCCGAAGGTTCTTCGTCGATTTCTTCATCTTCTTTGCTAAACCAGAAAACATTATCCTTTTTAAAAAATTTTTAGTTAATTAAATAACAATGAATAAGCCGTAATTGCAAACATTATTGATTTTAATTTTACCATTATACCCTGTTAAAACCCAAAGATTCAGATTTAATTTAATCATGAAGAGTGAGTCACAGAAAATATAGCTAAACAAAAATAATTCGTACCTTTCTTGTATCTAAATTTTCACATACTCTCTGTGCTTTATTTAATCGTGCATTAGTCTTTTTTTCAACATGCTCTTGGCGCACACGTTCGATAAATGACTCTTCGCTAATTTTTGCTCGTTTCACTTTTTTAGCAAGTTCCGTTTCAGCCTTATGCTTAAGTTCGGTAGACAATCCTAGACCAGATTTATCTTTCGATGTATTATTGATTTGATGTATGTTATTATACTAGTCCTTGATTTGAAAATAAGACCAATCGACAATAATATCAATACCCGATTTCATTTCGATGCTTATTGGCTCTGTAATTCCACTAGAATCTTTTCCCAGAGGTTTTCCTTTTTCATATCCCATTTTTTTTAATAGTCTTAACCCTGGGGATTCTGCATTGTCTTCCTCATCTATGCGTTTTGAAAGACCTTGTTCTCGACTTTCCTTCTCCCGTTCTCGCAAGGGTTTTGTATAACCAGATTTGGATGAGAGCTTTTGACGACGGAGCTCCGAGTAAGTTTTTGGTCTCGTAGTTAAAGACGACGATAACTCCGTAAGGTATTTCGAAGACATATAATCATCGTCGGAATCTGCCGAATTTGACATGGATTATTATCGTTATGCTAGACTTGACGCGCTTTTTTTAGTTTTATCGATCTTTTGAGTTTCTTGATTTGTATAGAAAAAATACTGCTACTCGATTTTTATAGGAGCGATTCAATTTTCATATAAGAAGTTTTTTTATTACGACACCAATATGTAATGCATTAAGATTTTGACTTTTTTAAGAAATTCACGTGAACAAGATCGAAGTCGTTTATGTTAACGAGTTACGACCTTTACAGAATTTCGTCTTTTATAAATTTTCAAAGGCTTCATCTTCTCTAGAGGTTTCGCCTTTTATTGGAAGTTTCTTCTTTCGCCGGAGGCTTCAGGGGCTTTGCTTTTCGCCGGAGTTTCGCACTTCGCCAGGATTACCAAGTGGTAGTTCCGACTAAAATACAGCGTCCAGGTGACTCGATATATAAAAGTTGTAGTATCAATAATTTGTATATCGAACGGAATGTTTCGAATGTGATGGTGAATGCAAGCTTGTTTCAAATGTCATTCAAGCTTTGAACAAAAATTATCTTATTCTATTTTAACAGCTGGTTAAACCTACTAAACAAATATAATTCATACTAAATTTGGCTTACTGGCTTCAGTATAACAATTTTACCGACGCCATTTCGCCGACACCCATTCCACCAACAGCCTTCACTGACAGCCCACTTCACCGACAATCCATTCCCACTTCCATAATCCACTTCTCCGACATCCTATTTCACTGACAGCTACTTCCTCGACTTCCCATTTCACTGACGGTCGCTTATCACCCACAATTATTTTATAGATACAAATGCTGTGCAGATAGCGTACGGACGAAATTTTTGATGATTATTATAAATATCGTCACTTACATATCATGATTAATAATACTAATTGAATGTGAATTTGATTTGTTTTAATATATAATTATGCTTAGTAGTAGACCACCATTAAAAATTGTATATATTTTGAAAAGGTTGAAGAAATTGATAATTTAAAAACAGTGATTGATTAGTTAAAAAACCATTTTATTAAATCTAAAAAATTTTTAAAGCATACGTACAGTACTGTATAAGAGATTTATTATACTTCATAATACAAAATAATTTTTTGGCTCAGACTTATTTAATTATAAAAATACAAATAAAGTGTTAGCATAATTTTTTATTAGTAATATTGCTTTTATAGCAATCAAAAATTCTAAGTTATAAAGATTGTATAATTAGTTTAAAATTTTAAATAGATGTATCTAAATAAAAATATAAATATTTCAAAATAAATTTGTATATAAAGTTAAGAATATTACTACAAATCATCAAAATTACTAGTGGTTAGAGGTTGGATCCTTTGAATACTCATCATGATATTCGCGGGTTTTGATGTTTATTTGAATGAATATCCAGATTTTGAATGGATATATATCCATCTATTATTGTAACCATGAATATTCACGCGCAAATATTCATGACATGAATTTTTTGGTAACCAACTATTGGATATTCAATGAACATCTATTTTCAATGGATCCGACCTCTTAACACCATACGTATAGTTTTTTGCTAAAATTTAGAGTTAGGGTGCAGAGTTGTATATAATATATAGTTTGAATTTTAGGTTACACGAGGTTTTGGGGGTTCTTAAATTTAGTTTAGTAGTTGTTGAAATAAAAATTTAATAACTTTATTTAAAAAATTTTGTTTACTAAATATAGTACTAACCACAATACTGTATATTGAATAAATTAGTTACAATATAATAATACAACTAAACTCTTTCCCGTTCATCACTCGTACAAAAATTTGCCTAAACCTGCATAACTAAAAAATTTATTTCTACAGTAATT